TTTTTTCAGTATCACAATGATGTCAAACAAAATCAAGCATATCTGGGTAGAAAAACAAAGACTATTACTGAAAACTACAAAAATGATTACAAGAGAACTTGGAGTGTGTTGATGAATAAAGGTGATCACACCAAATATTGACTTTAAAACTAATTAGAACTGTACAAACACCATTTTTGCCTCATATACCGTTACTCTATGTTTACACATGTTTCAGTAAAAACAAGGAACTTATATTCCTTTTTCCTAGACACACATAAAGAAATGAGGGATGGCTCAAGACTTTTGCACAATACGGTATCTCCTGCCATATAAACTAACCCTGAGAAACCAGGGTCAGTAAGATAAGCTGCATTTACTTCTTTACAGACACCCGTTCTCAGGACGAGAGGTCCCAGTGTCAAACGGCTCCGGTTTTATCATCAGCAGCGATGGTCTCATCATCACCAATGCCCACGTTGTAGCCAACAAGCGAGGCGTCCGTGTGAAGCTCACCAATGGAGAGACGTACAATGCCATCGTGCAGGATGTCGACCCTGTGGCGGACATCGCCACCATCAAAATCTCTGCAAGGGTGAGCAAGAAAATACAGGCCAGTCTCAGTGAAAGGAGCTAAACTAGCATGTGTGCTTTCACCACAGACAGAGAAACACAGAGCTTTATTTCAGATGCTCTTTCTCTCCCCTGACATGCAGAACCCGTTACCCACTCTCACACTCAGCCAGTCGTCTGACATCCGACAGGGAGAGTTTGTGGTTGCCATGGGAAGCCCATTTTCGTTACAAAATACAATCACATCGGGGATTGTCAGCTCAGTGCAGAGAGGCAGTAAGGAGCTGGGCCTGTCCAACTCCAACATGGAGTACATACAGACCGATGCAACCATTGATGTGAGTACTTGAATAGAATATATTTAAACTGGAATATGTTGATAGTGTATTTTCAGTGACTCAGGCGTCTCCTGTCGTGTTTCTAAATGCCACATTTGACTAATTGTTTTTCAGTTTGGAAATTCTGGAGGTCCCCTCATTAATCTGGTGAGTCACAAGTCCTGTTTGTGTGTCTCACTCTCACACACTCACTCTCTCTCTCTCTTTGTGATGCAATACAGTGGCAAAACCATTGCCTTGCAGCCTGTTTCCGATTGATGTATTCTAGTCTATTGAAGTGTTTATTTTAAGTCACACAGCATGCAGTGCTGGAATTAAAGTGCTCTCCAGTAAGTAGTCATAAAATGTGCCTTGATTTCAGCCACAGGTATATACAAACACATGCTGATTGGGCTAACACCACAGAAACTAAAACCATGATAATACTTTGAGTGTTTACTGAGCACACCCATTAAACACTCAGTGTCCTGGTGAAAGAAGTGTGGGGTTGATGTGCGATTAGCCCGAACAATTTAAATGGCCAAGTCATCTCAGTTGATGATGCGCCAGGTGTTTGTTGACTAAATGTTGTTGGATCTGATCTCATAGTTCCGCAAATCAGAGTGCCTTATCTCTCCTTTTATTAGGATGGTGAAGTCATTGGTATAAACACCATTAAGGTTACCGCTGGCATCTCCTTTGCAATTCCGTCTGATCGTGTGAGGCTTTTTCTGGAGAAAGCAGCCAAAAGAAAAAGTAAGAAAACAATCAAGAATCAAAAGCAATGCATCGCATCTTTTTATGTGGCTTTCTACCTCATGGTGTTATAAAAAATATGTTAGTAAACCTGCAGTCTTTCATGAAGTTCACACATCTTTTCTCACCTCTCCCAGGCACTTGGTTTCATAAGGATGAGACGAAGCAGCGGTACATTGGTGTTATAATGCTGACGCTGACGCAGAGGTAAATGTAGCGAGCGATGCCCCGTTAGAGCAGCAGCAGTGCACAGTGTTTGATCTAAAACAAGGTGTTTGTGTGTTCCTTTAGGATCATTGCTGAGCTGAGGTTGAGAGACTCATCTTTTCCGGATGTGACTCACGGTATCCTGATTCACAGGGTAATCAAGGGCTCTCCAGCTTACAGGTAAGCATAAAGGATGCTTCTTCTTTCAGCTCCTCAAGTTCAGCAACTTATATTGAGGTTGCTTTAATCTAATACATGTGTTTGTGGTTGTAATTAAGATGCAGGCATATGTGAGATGTTTGTACAGACTTATAGTGACTTGGTGCACACAGAATAAATTTTTACTTTTGTCATTATTGCTGTATTAAGGGGAATTTACAGTGGCCCTGAGGGTTCAAATGCATAGCAACTTAAGAAAGCACCAGGAAATAGATGAAAAACACAAAGTCGAAGTTGAATGAAACACAGTAAATGTAGACAAAAAAAAATCTCACAAAACAATGTTTTTGGGGACACAATGTGACGGACAACTGCAGAAGTGATAGAAACCAAAACGTGCGAAGGATTGCACTGAGACATCAGGATTCATCTGTGTGAAGAAAAGGCAAAGTTATGTGTGTGTTAATAGCAGGATTCATAACTGTAGAGGGTCTTTTTGTTTTTAAAGCTGTAGATATACGTTATACGTTTGTTTTTGTTGGTATAATTGTCGTATGTCTTGTTTCAGAGCTGGCATGCAAGCCGGAGACATTGTGCTGGAGATAAACGGGGCCAAGGTGAACACCTCAGAGGAGATCTATGAGGCCGTCCGCAGCAGCGACAAAATCACTATGCAGGTGCAGCGAGGACAAGAGATACTCCGCCTTCACATAACTCCCGATTATATAGATTAATGCAAACTGCATTATTTCATGTCAGCCGCTGGACAGAATGAGTTGTTAGCTTGTGTACACCAGAAAACTGTGAAACCTTACAGTGACTGTGTTCAAAAGAAAATGTTTGCTGTTTAATAAATTAGATTTTATGTAAAAGTTTTCTTATATTCTCCAGTATTTCACTAACATTTGGAGAGGTGTCAGCTTACAGTGAATGTGTAGGCATTTTAGCCATAGTAAATGTTACCTGTTTAAAACTACACTGGTGCAGTCTTCATGGTGCCATTTTTCATTAAATGCTAAAAGCCATGCTCACTGTTTATTCACGGAGGGGTTCTTAGTGAATTCTACCTCTTCTTTCTTACTTATTGCTCAGAGTAGCCAAACTTGTGTCTCTTGTAATGATTTGTGTCCAAAATGCATTATTTGTAAAATAAAAGCTCACGGAGCCTGAGAGGGTGCACTTTATTAAAGCCATTTAATGTTGTTAGGACAGCAAAAGGAAGCAAGAGAGACCCAACACTATGGCAAGGATGAATGGTATTAAACTGACTACCATTACATGAGCACAGAAGTCACAAATGTTGCCGCTATGATGATGATGATGATGATGATGATGATGATGAGAGTAACATATGAAGTCGCACTGATTTAAACTGCTTTGAGTATGTCACACACAGTAAAGACCAAAAAGGAAAAAAATGAAATGAATTCAATTCATGAATGTTTAAAATGCCAATTCTGCATGAGAAGTAAACGTGAGGTTATTCAGATTTCATTGAGCACTCTGAAGCCATAATGAGCAAAATAAAATTTCCCTGGTATATGTACAGTAACGCACACTTACAGTAAAGTAATAAAGTGACATGTACTGGACTGCTACACAATTTCATGTATTAACCTCAAAGACTGATAGCTAATAAATTGAGATAACATTTATTAAACAATATTTTAAACAATATATTCATACTTCTGGACTAAAGACATCTTATTAGGTACGAGTACTACAACATACAAGTATGGGAGGAAAAATACAATTGTTCAAACCCCATTAAAACTACTTTAAAAAGGCTTAATATATATTGCTGGTAATATTTTTTCTTTTTAAGAAAATATAAATTGTGCGACTGAAGCTTACAATACACTGCTGGCAGTGGCGCCAGATTCTGTGGTGACCAGCTGGGAATGGGTCATCCGTCAAGGCGCCGTGTGCTGAGAAACTCCCAGGAAGAGAGGAAAGAAGAAAAAACTAACCAAGAAAGGACAGCTGGACATCACGCGATGCCTGAATCGCTCGCACTTAAACCCAATTGCTGCTATGGTGTTTGTCACGGTGGAATGCTGCAAATATCACAAGATGTGCACAAACAGCAGCCAAACTATAATAAACTCATACAGATACATAAATAAGTGGGGGTGGGAGGTCTTGGAAACGTGTGTTTGTGTTTTGGAGGGGCGTTGGGGGTTTGGTTGACAATGTGAGGAACAAATTGTAGTGTCCAGTCTAGTCCAGCAGTGAGCAGGCTAAATATTGACTCAGTTGATGTGGTCCAAAGCACGAAGCAGCTCCTCTCCCTGCAGTAAGTACTGACCCTGTAAGGGTGCGTTCACCTCGCAGTCGTCGCGGGTGAGGAGCGGCAGGCCGAAGGAGGAACTGGTGGCCTCTGAAGTGCTGCCAAGCAGGCGACTCGCCAAATCTAAGATCGGAAAAGATCCAGTTGAATCTCTGATGTTCAATTTCAAGTAACACAGTAACACTACTTACAAAAAAGAACTAGTTTATTCACCTGAAGACAGCAGAACGATGGTCCTGGTTGTACCAGACCCTGAAGGCTTCAGCTTTTTGCCCTTTTCAACCTGCTGCTGGAGCGAAGTTCCCTGAAAAATAAATAAATAAATAAATAAAGACGGTCCCACTTCCAGAAGTCAGATTATACCGACTATGCGTATATGCTGAGGACTAACCTGTTCTATAATCTCTTTTAGGTCACCAATTTTTCTTTTGCGCTGTGCATTCTGAACTGCGAGGGTCCTCAGCGGCATCTCTTTCTCCAAATGTGGGGCTCTGCAGCACACAAAAAGTAGGCCTTAGCTATCCTCTAAAAAAGGCCATAAAAATGTAATTTGGCCAAAAAAATTAAAACGTTTAAGAGATGTTACCCATTTGCCAAGATGGTGGGAGGATGAGGAGCATCTACAGGCTCCACAGGTGGTGCTGGGGAAGCTGTGCGACTGCCTGGCGCACTGAAGGGGGAGCTGGGATAGCTGTGGATTGGAGTACTCTCAAGGGACTTGACTGATCCACAAGACAAAGGCTCTCCTGGGGGCAGGCTGAGCAACTGGAAATCATCATCCATGGGAATGTATGGAGCTAACATCTCCAGATCAAAGTCCTCCGTTTCCTTATGAGGAAACAAAAAATCAAATGGATAAGAATACAGAAAACTCTGGTGTTTATGTGATTCATGACTAACTTAATATAAAAAAAAAAAAAAAAAGTGATGCTTTTTCTAGATTTACTACCTGTGTGTTGAAGGGCGTTTTGGGCTCTGTATCAATAGCAAACAGCTTCTCAACCAAGTCTAGCTTGAAGTCCGAGTTCATCTCTGAATCCATGGGGAAGCAGAAGTCCAGTGGACTGCCGGGCTAAAAAGAAGAGAAGTCAAAGGTCATTTTTTTCCAATAGATATTACTGAGTGGTTAAAAATATTAACTGTCAATGTCTTATGTTGACAACAAAATAGTAAGTCAGTTTTACCGCTGGGGGCCTGTGGCTGGTTGTGGTAGTAGACTGGGCTGGAGCATAGCTCTCAGACTTTGAATCTTCAGAGTTAGTGCTGGAAACATCCAGAGGCTCACTGGGTGGCAGAGGGGAAAGAGGCAGAACCAGCTTGTCATCTGTGGAGGGAAGCATTACATCGTTGTAGAGAGGGACATCCTTCAGAAGATGGATATCTGATTCTGTACCTGAGGGTAGACAAAGGTCAGAATCGTTTCATTTAGCAAGAAATAAACCAAGTTATGCTGTTTAAAGAAGTTTAAGTATGTTTAGTCGGGTACTAACCGGGGCAGCTGAAGTGCAGGGAGACGATCGTGTCTCCGGCAGCTGGTGCCAGCATGGTGAGGGCTTCAGGCTCTCCCTTTAGGTGGTCATACAGGTTAATCGGCAGCTGGGTGACTGCCGAATCAGTAAGGATTTTGAGTATGTTCATCTTTGGGCTTTTCACCACCTCCTCCTCCTTCTGCACTTCCTCCTCCTTCTCCAGTTCAGCCTTCTTTGGCTGGACTGGAGAGAGCTCGACCTGGCTGATCCCGACTACAAGCTGGTCTTCCTCCTGCTGTTCCTCCTTTACCGGCTTCACATCTGCGGTCTGCTTCACTGACAAGATCAGTTTCTCCTCCTGGATGCCACTACAACAAAGGAAGGACACAATGAAATTATGCTGCTGTAAAATTACTACCAGTGTATCTCAAGTAAAAAGATAATCCTAACCCTTACTTAAGGGTAAGGGTTAGGATTATCCTAACCCTTACTTAAGGGTAAGGGTTAGGATTATTGTGTTTCCTCTGAAAGAATGACTTCAGTGAGACTTCAGTGTACCTGAGCACAAAGTTGACACAGACAACACACTGTGGCTGGGAGTTCTTGTTGTTGTAAATGACAGTGGCCTGTGTTTCCACCCACACGAAGCCTCCTTTCTTAGCCAACATTCGGTACTGGCCTGTGCAGACTTGGCCCTTTGCAAACACTAAAAACATCAGGGGGGAAAAAAAAAAAAAGAGAGAAAAAAAATTTAGTTAGGCAAAATTAAACAGCTAACATCTGTTTTAAACTTTTAAATCCAATTATGTTTAACATTTTTGTTTATGCTTACAGTTTTGGTGGGTCTTGGTAAGGTGGTCTGAATCCAGAGCATGGTAGTACTCATACACAGAACGATCCAACAGGTCCTCTGGATCATAACCCATGAGATCAGTGATCCTAGAGAAACAAACAATTTATTTAGATTGAATTCTGTAGTACCTACACTGAGCACTAGATGGCTCTGTGTCACTACACTACAATAGATAGAGCGACGCTGATGAGCGGCAATAGCGAGAACATAGGTTTAAGGAGCTGATTTAGATTTGATCCCTGTATCTTAAGCATATAAGACTTACTCCCACTGGCAAACTAACCTCTCATCACAGTACGTGAACTTCATGTCCATCGTGTGGCGGCTGAGGAAGGTCTTGGTGTCCAGAGGGACCTCAATGTTGGAGGGGTGCGGGATTGGATCGCAGATCAAAACCAAGTAGGGCACAGGTGGCTCCTTTTGCCCGTTGGTGCCCTCTTCGTCCGGGCTGTCATAAACGCGCACGTGACCTGTGCAGTGAAGCACCTGCAGGAGGACAACAGTTGTGTGATGATTATGGGATGTACTTTTGTATTTTGTGTGACCACAACATTTTTTTTTTTACTTTCAGTCTTTTGACATAATCTGTAAATGAGAAGCATTGCAAATTTAAGTATGTTCATTTCCTTCACACAGTAACATTGTCTGCCATAACTCAATGTAGTTTGCATCATTCACTTTTATGGATGCAAACTAGTTTTCAAACACACTGATCATAAGCTACGCTGACTTTATTCTCCCTCAGTCATCAGCACCTACAAAAATGACATCACGTGGACAGCTGCTTACTAGTCTTGCTTTCATCACTCCTCCCTGCTCTTTAGCCCACAATAGCTGTCACCACGTGGCTTTATTATTGCCAACAGCACAGTGGTCCAGCTCAAAGGAGGCCAGGCTTTATTAAAACGTACTGTGAAATGTGATTGACTCAGCCAGCAGCCGTGGTGTTGACAAACCGAGATGAACAACGCACATTGGAAACGGCAACACAAATAAATATATTATCACTTATTACATTACTGCTTCTGATGGCAGGTCTGCGAGTGTGTTCCCACCACAGCCTACCTTCCATGTAGCAGATTTGACGTTGACAGTGCGGCCCCTGCTCGTGAGGGTGCACTTCATCCGCAGAAAGAAGCTACGCTCTGTATTTGGCTCCTTGGATTTCTTGGAGCCTGAAATCACAGAAGCAGGAATAATGGAGCCACAATTACAAAAAGGGGGAAGCTGCATCTTACATGCTGTTTCAATGGTGACCACTTCCATTTATTACTGCCTCTATTTTAAATCTTCATATTTCAGTGTTGGGCAACTGCCAATTTGCATACAGGAGACACCAGGGTGCAAAAGTGGTTGCTGCAACGCTACCAGCCGTTATAAGTGCACATACCATCAGTGTGCAGTGAGTCCAAATCCAAGCAGTACAGAACCACGTGTGGGTTCCAATTAGACCTACTGTTAACAAATTACCAGTCACACCAATGTTATGAACCACAGGTGTAAGCACAATTTGTGATTCACCACAATCACAAAACTATAAGCTGACATGACCTCATTG